ACTTTTGTTTGCGCACAATTATACGACACGCAAAAAATTTTTTCGCTTTTCCGTTTTTTCCTTTTTGCCAAACTTATTAAATGAAAATCAATATAAGGATACGTAATGATAAAAGAATGTTTATAATTTTTATTTCCATATTTATATTGCTTTAAACTTGGAAAACCATTCCGGGGGAATAAATTAATCTTAGGGATGTTACAGTTCCCACATTTTCTCCTATAAGAGTAATCTCTCTAAGAGTAATAAAACGTATGATATGTGTGTTAATACGTTTCAATGGTGATCTTCAATGAGTTAATATTAGGAGAAATTTACTTTCTCCCAGTGATCTTCGAAGATTACGATTTTATGCGTATTGCAGAAATTCACGAAGGTGGATGGGCTATGCTCGCCGATGAAGAATTAAATAGTTGTCATTAGGTAGAAAAGACTGCGTCTCGGTAATTAATTTCCGAGTTGACAAGGAAAGTAGCTTGTCATTATATCTTTAAAATATTGTGTGTTACTTTAAATAAATGATGTACAATTAAAACTGAAAGATTTATTGTTTTCCATTACAAAATACATACATTGCAAAATATGTGCTTATACAGGATGTCCCAGAATAATCAAATATTTCATGTATTGATATAGAGAGGACCAAATTGAGTCGAAAAGTTCTCTACTATTTTGCAATTTTTGCATTAATTAATAACATATTAATTACTAAAAATTGTCGAATATTGGTTTATAATAATTTTTTACTTAAGTAAAATTAATAATATTAATTGATTTATTCTGTCGAGCCTTATTCTGTCTGCCTTATTCAATTTAATTGTTAAATACAAATAAATTAAATTAAATAACGATATTAATTTAAATACAATATATATATTTATATTTTTTGTTTTCTAGTTTTACAAATCAGAACTGATTGTATTAGGAAGTTACAATAAGTTTCAGAACTACAATTCTGCGTGTATTAATTGTATATAATTGGACTTTAGATTCCAATTTAAAAAGCTACAATATTTCTCATTATTGTTTTTTCATATCTTCAATTTATTATTCCGCTTCTTACTTTAAATCTCTCCCTGTATAGTTACATTGTTGTCTGATAGATGAACGAATCGATTTGCCATTTGAAATTGCACAAGTATTACCAAATATGTCACCACTGTGCCAGTTAGCTGAAAGAAATAATCAAAACTATTAATTTAAAAAATTTAATTTATATTAAATTCCTTACATTCTAAATATTCTCACCGAATAAAGAAAAGTATTATCGAGCGTAAAGTATCCATTAGCTGTAAACTGTATTTTGCGATGTAGTAATTGAAGCGAAAATTTCTTGAGCTGTAACATAACTATGATAAATGTCGTTACGATGAATCATTTCTGAGAAAGTCTTATCTAACTTTGTTTTTTACCTCTGCATTTGTTTCTTTCTCGATTGCACAGTTTAAAAGATCATGAACTAAATTGCCCGCTTTATTCATCTGCAATAAATATATAATTGAATTATTTCGTAAAATATTTGGAATTTTATTTACTGATAAAAATATTTTGTTTGATTAAAACGCTCTGATTAAAATGCGATCTTATTATATTGATTATCTTACCTCGATTAAAATTCTGGTAATTTTATTGGTGAGGAGAAAGATGGGATAAATCAGAAGTATTATCCAGACAATGACATCAATAATACTATAAGAATAATTTAAGATATTATCAGTCATCAATAGAAACGAGAGAAAATAGTAACCATTATATATGAGTGTCAGAAAGAGAAATACGATGCCGAATAGTACTGATAGTGAATAGAAACTCGACACATCCTCAGAGATTTTACAGAGATGACAATGCACATCTCGTAGTTGCAACAGTTGATAAACGGTGGAATTGTTGATTATAATACGACGCGTTTGATAGAGAGACTGCAGTCGAAGATCAGGTGCATTAGTCCTGGTTAGGCTTTGTATCAGTCGATTTACATCAGCGAAATCTGTCTGAATGACCGTTACCAACAGGAAGTATTGTATCAGTAGCCAACCCACATGAAATGTCGGCAAAACGTCTGTCAACCATGAGATTGGATCTGTATGACCGGTTACGATCTGAGTGAACAAGAGAAGTATCAAAAGGCAAATCTTCAAGATGCAAACAATGATCATAGTGTAGAAGATACGTTGTCGTTGTAGTGGATAATATAGATCATACAGACGATCTATGTCATGCTCGATGATGATTAATCGATTAGCGATCCGCACCAAAGACTTCTGTTTGATGCAGTAGCTAATCAAAATCACACAGATCACCAAGGCACCAAGTACAGTTTGTAGAACCGCGATGTCTACAGTCAAATTCGTCTTGATCTTGTAGTTCCAATTAAGTCTGAATGGTATAGAAAAATAATTCGAAGCTATCATTAAGCTACTCAACACAACATTGTAAATAATTCCTAATTTAGAATATTGAAATGTGTATGACGTTCTCTTTTTGTATACGATGATTCGGTAGGCGAATGTAGCGAGACCGATAAGCTTGAAGAACACTATCAATATTCTGAACGTCCAAAATAAATCTTGATGTAGCTCTGATTTTATTTTGTTCACTTTCTGTTCATTATTTTTTTCCACAAAAGAATTTTTTTTATTTATATTTCCAAAGAAATTGGAGGTTTTATCGACGTTCATGAAAATTGAATTCTTACTCAAAGACATTTTTACAATGACTATCTTCTTCTATAATTTTTGAATTCAAAGTTAATATCTACTTCTTTTCTTCATTAGATCTTGCCAATTTTCTTGTGTGTCATGATATTTATAAATATTTTTTTTAGGAAAATTTTCAGTTCAATTCTTCTTAATATTTTTTTTTTCAAGCCATTTGTATATAGATTTTTTTTTTAATTTGTTTACCTTAAGTCTTAAACTCTAACTCTTCTTATTAAAACATTTCACGCATACCTCATTCATAAATTGATAATTTAAGAGGCGTTCGTTTTATTTTATTGATATATCTTTTCAATTGTTTTAAATCCAATTTAAATACGACCGTTTGAACGTCATATACAATTAATTGTGAGTCCGATAAATATTCACGTGTATTCTAATTGACGTTGCGCTTTATAATTCTTATGAAGTAGCACTGAGCATGTAGCGATGTTTCCGCAAATATTTTTCTCGCAAGCATCGCGTATGCAAAACATTATTAAATATTAAATTTGTGAAAGATATAAACGCATGATAAGGAACATAAAGTCAATAATTTAGCTCTGTTTCAGTCGACATGGATCCTGCGATGAAATAGCCGATTTTTACGGTATTATTATTAGAATGATATCAACTGGAATATTTATCAACTATATATATATATATAAAACACACACACACACACACACACACACACACACACACGCACACGCGCGCACGCACGCACGATAATACATAATTTCTTTAATTGTATTGCTAGTATAACATAGTAGATTATTATTATTTTTGGTTACTTTCCCAGCTACAGCAGAGTCTGTAAAATCTGCAACTTTGTCACGCTGACGTCTCTGGACTGAATACGTATTGTTTAGCTCAAAACGTGTGAAATTTATGTTTCAAAGTCAGACAAAGACAGATCAATAAGAATCAAATAAATAATATTTATTATTAAGCATTAATATCAATTAATGTTTCAGAAAAATTTTATTGAAAAAATTCACAAAAATGATTTTGGATAAAAAAATTTTCAAATTTTTAAATTTAATATTCGAGCAAAAACCTGTAGAATTTTTTTGTTGACCTTTTGGATTAACAAAAAAAATGATATGATATGAATCGTTCAAATAATTATTTGAACTAATTTAATTAATTATTTGAACTAACGAAAATCGACACACATGAAAAATCTACATATCATAAGTTTACAATTAATAAATAAAATTTTATTATTTAAACAATAAAAAATGAAATGAAGGATTGTATATGTATAAATATTATTATAGTATATACAATTAAGTTTATTAGGAAATTAACTTAAGTTTATTAGGAATTAAAAATTTCTTATTTAATTTAACTTTAATTTTAGTTTAAAGGATTTAGTTTAAAGGATTTAATTTAGAGGATGATGCAACACTCGCTCTAAAGCAATACATCCGCCCCATAAATTTTGTAAAAAACATTTGGTAAATATATATGATTATTACACTTGTGTTAGTGATGGTGCACCTCTCCATTCATACGGATAAGGCCGAGTTACAGCGACGCAGCGACAGCGCATTATACTATACTTGATTGGTTACCGGCACGAGCATGGTGATATTCCCCTCATTGCCGAATGGAAAGAAGGGAAAATCGATTTCTATTTTAGTCATACGAATACACATCAGCTGTACCTTCTCTATGTAGGTCAAACAGAATGGCGATCATTAAGTAATTACCTTACATTTTATTCATGATTAACAGATATTCCAGTCACAATCTAATTACAATTCTACTCCTGACCTAATCATGATCCTACTCCCGACTCAACCCTCCCCCCCGAACCGAACTACGACTCTACTTCCGACCTAACTATCACCCAACCTCCGACCGCATCACTGACCTAATCATAATCCTATCTCCTACTTGACCTACATGTATTATTGTTCACAGCTCGATTGCCTATATGTATTATAGCCTACAGCTGAATTGCCTACAAGTACTTTTGCGCACAAATATAAAATTAAAGTTAAGTTAAATAAGAAAATATTTTGTATTGATTAATATTGACAACAACGGAAGCAGTTCTGTTCATAAGAATAAATGTTTATAATGGTACTTTCGAGTAAAGAATGTGCAACAATACAATTATGGAAGGTGAGAAGTGAGAATCGCTTCATGTAGAAACAAGGGAAAATATAAAATAGTATTTAATAACAAATAAAATGCTTGTAAACAATAGAGCTATAGGCAATAATATTTATAGGCAATCGAGCTACAGGCAATAATATTTATAGGCAATCGAGCTATAGGCAATAATACATGTAGACAATCAAGCTGTAGACAATAATACTGGTAGGCAATAATACATGTAGGCAAAAGTAACTTCGTTTCTAAACTTTTTATTTGTGCTTGTAGGCAATCGAACTGTAGGCAAACGTGATAGATAAACGATATTGTAGGCAATAGATTTGTAAGCAAACGAATCCCTGCCCCGGATAAACTTTATTGTCGCGGATCAAACGATTCTAACTATCTATGTATTTGCTTATTTTATCAATATCGCTTAAGGTTTCTAACAAAACTTTAAATACTGTCATGCTCGCCGATCAGTGACCGTTAACGTTCGAGTTTTGGTTCGTGCTTTGCCCTAAAGATTATTTTGTCGAACGTTTGCGAAACGAAGAAATCATGGAGTTCACTGGATGTAAGAGCAGATTTTTGCGGTAAATGTGAAAAAGATGTCAAAATTCTATTTTTTAGTAGAGGAATAGAGCTCAAAAAATATATGCTATATAGTAAACATTGTGTGTTATTTTCGTGAATGAAATAGATATATCATATCACATAATATATACTGCTTTTTTGTAATTTTTTACTTAAATTTATACTTAAATTTATCTTTCATATTTTATACTTTTAATATCTTAGAATATCTTTGAATTATACGTTTAACTCTTAATATATATACAATTTTCTTTTATTATGCATGATAAATCGTTTGTGTGTGGGTTAATTTCTATAATTTGTGCAAATACATATACAAAAATTAGATTAGATTCTTATATATTTTAACATCTTTAAAAAATATTTTGTTGAATTGAAGGTGTATTTAAAGAGAAGGAAAAAATAGAAAGAATTATTTACCAGGTATTTTGAAAAAAAATAACAAGATCTGAATGACTCATGAATACTCTAATGGTAAAATTATATTATAATAAAAAAATAATATTGTTTGTAATTTGTATTATATACACATATTTAATTGCAATATATGAAAAAATTTTATTTTAAGAAATTAAACATACTGTAAAGATTATATCATATCTTTTTTCTAATCTTTTTTCTATAAGGGTATTTATTGGTGTAAATAGCGTAATATCTCACATGATCCCATCACATGTTATACATAGAAAGTTAATTTATACGTGTGAACTGTGAATACAAAGAAAAAAAGGTCTAATTGGCTGCCTAATACAATCACTTTTTTTTCATTGTATTCACAATTCATTGTATTCGCATGTATAGACTAACTCTCTGTATAACTCTATGTATGTGTATAGCATGAGGTGATGAGATCACATGAGATTTTACGCCAATAAATATCCTTGTGGAAAAAAAGATTATATGATACAATTTTTACAATATATTTAATTTCTTAAAATAAATTTTTTTCTGTGTTGTTTCTCACAAATTAAATATATGTATATAATGCAAATTACAAACAATATTATTTTTTTATTATAATATAATTTTATCCTTAAAGTATTCACGATAAGTCATTCATATCTTATTTTTTTTTCTTCGAAATACTACATCTGCATTAAATAATTCTTTATATCCTTTTCTTCTTTTTAAATATACAATTTCATAAATGTTTTTTAAAGATGTTAAAATATATATAAGAATCTATTCATAATTTTTGTATATTTGCAAAAATTATGAAAATTAATCCACACACAAACGATATTATGTACAATAAAAAAAAATTGTATATGTAAATATATAATTTGAAGATATATTATTAAAAGTAATACGAAAAATAAATTTATTTAAGTACAAAAATCAGAAAAAATATATTATGTGACGAAAGCTATTTCATTCATGAAAATAACGCACAATGTTTAAGCATATACGTTTTAAGCTCTATTTCTCTATTAAAAAATAGAATTTTGATATCTTGTTTATATTTACCGCAAAAATATATATAATATTCTATTAATGATAAGATAGAAAAGTAACGACTCGTTATATTTTAAATAATA